TATTGGTAAGCAGTATTGAATATATTGATTTTATCTGTAGTAGGTTGTATGAAGCATAGTTTATACCCAAATTCTTGTTAGCTTTGTTACATTATTAATTTTGTTATTTCTATATGTGTAAATTTAAATTGAAAATTACAGGATGTTTTCTTCTGTCTTACAGGAAGGAATCACAAGTCAGTTACTGGATTACTTTTGGCTTAGTACAAGAGTGACCTATAAAAATAATAGAAAAATTGAAATTTGGGCAGAGGTGTATTATAATCTATTCAAATAGTTAATATGGTAACAAGATAGGTACAATCAATAGAAAGACCTGTTTAAATAGAATAATTTTTAAATGTTTTAACAAATTGCAATCACAGCTTCCATATTTGTTAAGATCAAAAATATCTTTTAGCATATTCATTTACCAATTGTCTGTTATATTCTATTCTTGCCATCCTTGGTTATCTTTGTTTTCTTTGTGGCTAAGCAGGAATTCATACACTAAATTCCTATATTGGTTTTGGATATTAATCTTATTATGGTAGGAAATGACTAAATACAGATTAAAGACTCCCTTCCCCCCTCAAAACACACACAAACACACACTCCAAAACAAAAACAAAAATGAAAATAAGCCATGAAGTCCTTCTGGTATCACATTTGTTGCTATCATACTCTGTCTTTGCTTTCCCAGTGTCACACAAAGGAAAATTGCTGGGTCCATGGTTTCCACCTGTAATTCCAGATGCTTGGAGGTGGAGAGTGGAAAGATCGTGAATCAAAGCCAGCTCAGGCAAAGTTAGTGAGATGCTCTCTCAATCAGTAAAATGGCATGATGGCTGTACTTGTTATCTAGCTAGGTAGACTGTTTCAGTAGGATAATCTTGGTCCAAGCTGGGCCTAGAAAAAAATGTGACACCCTATTTCAAAGTCACAAAAGCATAAGAGGTAGATGCAGATCAAACGGGGGAATGAATGCCTGCCTAGCAAGTAAGAGGCTGAGATCAAATTCCAGTAATGCAAAAACAAAAGTAAAAACAACAAAACAAGTAAACCTTTGTTTACTTTGTATATGTCAAGGATTTTACCTGCTTCAGGGAATGCATGGAAAGAAAATTATTTCAGAGCTTTTATTTCTGATGTGAAAAGTTTTTGATCTAGATATATAGTATTGATCCATAAATCTCTACTGAGGGAAAATGTTGCCTTTTCTGGATGTTTAATAAATGAGAGCTTTCTGCAATCTGCATCTTCTTTTAGGGTCCATATTGCTTTGAATTTTTAGTACTCAAAGGTGGCCCATTGGAAGTGATTAGAATTCTGTTCCCTTGATGTCCATTGGTCAGGTACTGCACAGGGACCAAATCTAGTGTGCCTGCTCCTATTTTCAGTTCCATTCTTTGTTGATAACCTCAGTTAAGGCTGGTGACTCTTGTCATTAAGTTCTTTGGTACGTCTTGAAGCAGATTTTGGCATTTACTTTTAACATTATCAATTGTGTTATTCATTAACAATGTGTTTTAATTATTTACATAAAGATTGCTAATAAATCCTAAATACTTTAGACTAAGTCCTTTTGTGAAAATGTCCATTATTTATAGAAGAATCACTAACCTGTTAGGGAAGGTGCAAATAGATACCCTGTTTCTTGATAATTTCAGAGTAAAACCGAAATACTTTTTTTTTCTTTCAAAATCTTAAGTGTGAACAAGGGAGACATTGTAAAAGTATAGAATGGAGATTGAGACACATTTGATAATTTGTGGTATTCAGAAAGCCCAACACTTGAAGGAAATCACATATTTTACGACTGTGTGTATAAAGTTAAATCCTCATTCTGTCTTATGCTCTGCCTTTAGCATTTTTATTAGGTTTTTTTCTTGTAGTATTTTGTAGGGATGGGAATTTTTATTGTCCTAATGACTTTTGAATCTCTAATCTTTAGTTGTATTGCTTTCCTCATATTTTATTATAGAACTACAACTATTCTTATTTGATATACTTTATATCTCATGGATTGGATTTGCTCTGTGTGTGTGTGTGTGTGTGTGTGTGTGTGGTGTGGTGTGTGTGTGTGTGTGTGTGTGTGTGTGTGTGTGTGTTTCTTTGTAATGCCAAATTGATTAGGAAACTAATTTGCTTAAATACTGGCTTTTGTTGGTGAGAAGGTATTTCTAATATTAACATTAGTTATTTGATTTAAAATATTGAGTTCTAATGAAAAGACTACTGAACAGAGAATTAGAATCACTTTTGTTTTTAGCTTACATCAGCAAAGTTTGCATTATGAGACAAGTTTAATTAAAACCTTCAGGAATTTTTTCTTCATTTGTAAAACTGAAGATTTGAACTTATTTTTTTTTTTTTTAATCTATTCCTGTTCATTTGTATGTTATAATAATTTACTTCTAAGAAATAATGTTCTCTTAATTATTGCATTCTATTTCCCACTGTTTAGGAGTTTGAAAAGTAGTCTTCACTCAATCCATGTTTAATATTTCACCTATATAACTTAGTGCAGTGTTGCTATCTAAATTGGGCTCAACCTATTCTTTTTATTTTTAATTTAAATTTTATTATAGAGGTGATATACAGAAGGGTTATGGTTACATAAATCAGGTCATGAGTATATTTCTTTTTGAACACTATTACCCTCTCCCTCATTTTTTCCCACTTTTCCCCCTACTAAACCCCCTTCCTTCCAGATTGTAAAGTTTATTTTTAACATAGTGTCTAGTGAGTATCACTGTTGAATTGGTTTACTCTTTGTCCCACTGTTTCTGTGATTCCCCTTCTTTTCCTCAAATCATAAACTTATATACAAGACAAAGGGTACAGAAATAGAAAACAGTGATAAAAGGGAATAACCTAAGGGGGGGGGAAAGAATAAAGAAATGACTGCAAACAGTACAATGAACAACCTCTGTTTCTCTTTCTTGGAGTTCATTTTGATAAGTATCGATATGCACATAGCTATTGAGTCATTGTGATTCTCTCCTAAGAATATCCTCCTTTGTTCTCACTGTGCAGATGTTTAGAGTACTGTTTAATTAATCATGTCCAGGTGTAATTATTTGTCTTTTACTATTCATTGTATTAACTTGTAGATTGATAGACATATTCTACTTATTGAGGGAATATAGCCTATGTTTCTTTGGATCTGGGTTACTTCACTTAATATGATTTTTTCCAAGTCTTTTCCATTTCCTTATGAATGGGGGCAATGTCATTCTTTCTGATGGAAGCATAGATTTCCATTGTGTATATATACTTGATTCATTCATCCATTGAGGGGCATCTCGATTAAATCTATATCTTAGTTATGGTAAAGAATGCTGCGATGAACATAGTTGTGCTGGTGGCATTAGTGCAAGCTGGTTTGTGGTCATTTGTATAAATGCCCAGGAATGAGATTACTGTCATAGGGAAGCTCTATGTTTAGTTAAGGTCCTCATATCTAAAATATACTTCTCCCCAAAACAGATCCTCAAAGAAACAACAGCCTCATTAATAAAGTGGGCTAAAGACTTTCCAAAGTAAGAATAGCCTATTAGGCACATGAAGAAATGTTCAATATCTATGTCTATAAAAGAAATGCAAATCGAAACAACATTGAGATTCTACTTCAGTCTATTCTTACTTCTCTTTCTTCCTCAGTTTCCAGCTAGAATGCTTCAGGATGTGACCTCTAGAATGTGCTTTTTTTTAGTTTCTTTTTTTCATATTTTGGCTTATGATATTCCTTTTCTGTACAATTTTTCATTTGTGTCCTTTCAACATTTCAACAGTTATTTTAGTCTTATATGGAAGCCACTTATGTATTGTGTTGTGCTGTATATGAGACTTTACAGTCATTGACTGTATAATTTTACTAATCTTGTTTCTGATTTTCATAATTACTATAGATATAGGGCTTAATTGACATTTGTAAAGCTTAATTTAGAAAATTAATTAGAATTTTATATATATATATTTAATGAGCAGAAAAAAGTAACAGGACAAGGAAATCACCACAGATACTTTTAATGAAACAATGTTTTAACTTAGTTGACCATGTACTTTTATTGCACAGTTACTATATACTATCATTCTATCTACCACTTCTTCATTCTTACTGACTCATCTACATACAAAAGACCTTTGCAACACATTTGACTATTTACCTTTATTTATCATTATAGTTTATCACCGCCATGGTCTTAAGCATTTAATAGTACCTGTTGATTTAATTTATATACTGTGTATATTCCTGAATATGTCTCTATGGTCTTGCTCATAGACTTTTAGACCTTAGTCTTGTGTTGTTCTTTTGTACAGTCCTAACTATTCATGTTTATTTTCACTTGCTATACTTTTGAGAATTATTCCATTTATTGTTTCTTAAAAGCATGTTCTTTGGTACAGTTTGTCTGACAGTGTGTAGGGGTTAGTGGTGGGATTGCTAACCACACCATCAAGAATAAGCATGAGGTAGCTCTTAGACTAGCAGTCCTTCCTACATCTGGAAGAATGTCTAAAGTGGCACTGGTAGTTAAAAAAATTTGGTTATAAAAAATTTGAGATGTTGCAGATATTTTTGCAAGTAAACTTTACTTGAATTATAGAATATATGAAAACTTAGTTTTTATCATCAAGTATATGGGTAATTTTATTGACAGTGTTCCTTAAGCATACAAATAAAACAGGATTGTCTATTCTATTCTATGAGAAATAAGAAATAGTAAGCAAGATGGGAGTCTCTATGCAAATATCTTTCCTAGTATTTGCAGTACACATTTATAATAGAAAACAAATCACTCTGTATATTACCTCTAGAATAATAATAAAAAAAGAATTAAGCTGGAGTTGCTCAAAGGAGAAGAGATTGTTGAAGGGGCGACACAGATCAATATGCATTGTATTCATATACTGCTTTGTTAAATGACACCTCCCTTGTACAACTACTTAAAGATAATAGTTACACAGACAAGATTTTGATTTTAGGTAATAAGCTGTTTATTTTATTTTAACAGGTATCTTTCAGAGGAAGGCATTGAAGCTTGCACAAGTTCTCCTGACAAAATCAATGTAAATGACATCATCCTGATTGCTCTCAATGTAGGTTAAATTTATTAACTTATAAACACTTTTAACAAAAGTCGAAGAGTTTTGTTCTGGTGCTTTTGGGGTTTGAAGCCAAGGGCTACCTGCGTGCTAGGCAAGTGCTCTGGAGACAAGCTATACTCTCATCTCCAGACTAAGTTTTTTTTTTTTTTTTTTTTCCCCTCTCCTAGGTAATGTCATTTATTTATTTATTGGTTAATTTTTATTTTTGGTGGTACTGAGGTTTGAGCTTAGTAGTTGGTAAGCAGGTACTCCATCTGCCTAGTCTCCAGCCCTTTTTGCTCTGGTTCTGCTGTTTTCTGGGCTGTCCTGAACTATTGTCCTATTTATGCTTCTGGCCATAGCTTGGATGAGAGGTACATTCTACTAGACTCAGTATTTCCTGTTGAGATGCAGTTCTGCAAACTTTATTTTGGCATCAGCTGGCATTGAATCTTGATCTTCCCAAACTCAGCCTCCAGCAGAGCTGGAAAGGCAGACATAGATTTCCATGCCCAGCACTGATTGACATGAGGGAGGTCTCTCAAGCTTTTTGCTTGTTGGGTTGGCTTTAAAACTTGATCCTCCTTCTCTTTGTCTCCTGAGTAGTTAGGATTATAGGAGTGAGCCACCAGCAGATGAAGTTGTTTTTTTTTTTTCTTAGTGTAAGCATTAGTTAGAAATATGATACATGCTATCTGTGATTGTCACAGCAGTAATTCTTTGCACTCATATTACTGAATTTTACTTTTAAAAATGTTGTAAAGAACTTTATTTCTGGTTGAAGAGATTTTTTATGACAATCTGCTATTTGTTTTTATTTATATGCTTTGGCATGTAGCAGTAACCTTTATATAATTGGTATGAACCTGTAATAAAATCAAGATTAAATATTGCTGTATGCATAGGAAGGAGGGCCTTGCAATACTTTTTTGAATGAATTAATTCATAATTTTCTCTGAAATATATAGTTGGAAAAAAAAAAAAAAAACTTGTGCCAGATAAGTACACTTTTTTTTTTTTTTTTTTTATCAGTCTTGGCCTTAAACTCAGGGCCTGGCTGCTGTCCCTGAGCTCTTTTTCTCAAGGCTAGTGTTCTTTCAATTTGAGCCACAGCTCCACTTCCGGTTTTCTGGTGGTTAATTGGAAATAAGTCTCATGGACTTTCTTACATGGGCTTGCTTCTAACTGCTATCCTTACATCTCAGCCTTCTGAGTAGCTAGGATTACGGCATGAGCCACCAGTGCCTGGTGACAAATAGACTTTTTAAACCTATCACTTGTTAAGATAAGTGTCAATTTGTTGTACAAGAGGGTTTCATCTTGACATGTGTATTTATGTATGCTATGTACCTTGATTACACCTACCCCTTCTGTCACTCTTCCACAGCCCTGCAAGGCAATCTCAACAAACTTCATCGTTCCATTTTCACACATGGGCAGAAAGTGTCTTGATTGTATTCACCCACTTCACCTTTTCTATTTACCCTCCTGTCTTACACCAGTACCCACACAGCATAAATGTTAGACCTTCCTAACATTATTTTCTGTTGAAGTGCAGCTAATTGTTTTACATATGCATAACTGTACTTTTAGTCATATGGATCCCTTTTCCTTCTCTTGGTTTTCCCAATCATCTACCTGCTTTCATTGAGTTTGTTTTCTATCTCCATTCACTGATGCAATGTTTTTCAATATCGTTTATTATCTAAGATTCTCTTTTTGAGGGCATTAGAATAATGGAGGGGAGAATTACTTTCTAATCATTTTCATAAGCTTATAGTATCCTGTTGAATTTGTTTTTCTGCTTTAAAGATTGCAACCATTAATTAAGAAGGACTTGTATTATAGATTATATTATATATAGTATACTTGTTTACTCGGAGCCTATTCCATGCACAAGCTTGCCTATTTTCTCTCCCTCTTGTGAGCTTTGTTCTTTTGATCATGAAGGGAAAGTAGAATAACATGTGTGCAGTGTTTCAGTCTGGAAGTCCATTAGATAAGATGGTAAGCTCGAGCTTTTGTTGGACTGCTTAGAAAGGTACTTTCTGCCTAGTATGTACCTAAATTACAGATTTCCTTCATGCAACCTCTTTTTCTCCTCAGAGTAGTTATAATTTAGCCACAGTTTAGGCAGTGAGACACTTTTAGGGAGTAGTTCTAGGGCAAAATTCCTAGATGGCAGCCTTGGGTGAATCTTGTAAACAGGTCTTTTTGTAGAGTTAGCTTCCTGTGATATGCTGTATGACTTTCTTATGCTCAGATCCTCTTCTAAAAAGAATTCATAACTTTTACATTGTAAAATGGGGGTTAAGAATACTAAGAAGTAGCATTAATATCCTGTATAGAGGTTTGTTTCAGATGTCTATGCTAATAGAAATAGTTGATAATGCAGTCTTAAATTAAACCACTGAATTTTATAAACAGCATTTAGTAAATTTTACAGCAGATTATGTTTTTGTTTCCCTTGAGCTTCCATATAATACAAAATGATTTGCCTTAGTAGATATTTCCTAAACAACAATCACATGTATATTTTGTCTTTATATAGAGAGGCTTTGAAAATTATCAATAAAAATTTATTTTTTTTTGCTTGTTTCTTTTTTTCCCCAGTAGATTTTCTTTTTTATAGGCAAAATATTTCTACAGTTTTCCCTTATATTCAGTTTTAAAAGTATTCTGGGCCACTGGGTCATTGTCCTAGTGATCCTGCTGTAATGATGTGTGAATAATAAAATTGCTTTCATTGTATGTATAAATTGATTTTGAGTTAGGATCTTTAAAGAGTTAGAATGTCATTTTCATCTTGGTAAATTACACCTAACTAGCATTCCACAAATGTGTGTATAACACTGTGAAAGTCACGTAAATTTTGAATGTATTGTCTTTTTTTTTTTTTTTTTTGGGTCCGGTCATGGGGCCTGAAGGCTGGGCCTGGGCACTGTCCCTCAGCTCTTCAGCTCAAGGCTAGCACTCTACCACTTGAGCCACAGCGCCACTTATGGCTTTTTTTCTTTTTGCTTATGTGGTGCTGAGGAATCGAACCCCCGGCCTCATGCATGCAAGGCAAGCGCTCTACCACTGAGCCACCTTCCCAGCCCCTGTATTGTCTTTTTTTAGCCTGACAATAACTTTGTGAAATAGATTTGGTACTGTTTTTTCCACTACATCAAGGCTAATTCATTGGGTGCTTGCTTTGTGTGCAAGTCATTTGTTAACATTTAATCTTCAAAAATAGTTCTAATAGAGGGAATGCTAATATAGGAAGATATTTTATACCCATTTGTCCTTCCATATTTTCATAATGACATACAGTTGATAGTTCTTTATCCCTTGTTACTATGTTGGGCCTGCATAAAAACTATATCTAAAGCACAGCTGCACAGGTTTTGTATTGTGGTTTAGTGTGCCTGGCAGTTCCAGTTGGTTAATTTTGATTATGGGTGATCCTTGCATGACTTTTAGAAATAACTCAGGAAACCTAATAGTAAAAGGTGGTACAGGATCTGTGAAATCTGTTATATTACTTATATGCTAGCTTGGATATTTGAAATATGAAGATACCTCACTATTTGAATATTTAATTCTAACACCCAATAAAACGAACCTGCCTCTAAATGTGTTCATTTCCCATTATTGTAATTTTAATAACTTAGTGTGTTTTCTTTAAGTATAACAGATTTTTCACTTAGGTGAAATTTATGTGATTGGATGCATTCTTGTGCTTATGGCAACACAGAGTAACTATTTATTTACTTATTTTTGGTACCAGTCCTAGAACTTGAACTCTAGGCCTGGGCACTGTTCCTGAACTTCTTTTTCTCAAGGTGGTGGATCTACCACTTGAGCCATAGCGCCACTTTTGGCTTTTTTGGGGGTAGTTTTAGTGGAGATAAATGTCTCCCAGGTTTTTCCTGCCCTGACTAGCTTTGAACTGCAATTTTCAGATCTTAACCTCCTGAGTATATTGGCGTCAAGTCTCATTTGCTATATTTTAAGTAATGAACAAGTGAGGTTATTCTAACCTCATTTTCTATTAAGATTATTTCTTACCTTCATTTATTGGACTTCTTTTATAAGCATTGATTGTTTCATAAGCATTGAATATACATCTTGATATTCCTTTAAGTTTTCATTTCCTTAAGAGGACATGATCCTTAAAAGTTTTGCTTTTTTGGTAGACTCTGAGGGGATTTTCTTTCTTCATCAGAAATGACGTAAAATTGTTATGCTAGTCCTTACGCTTTGCTTTCACTATTTTGCTTTGCTGAATTATATATATCTATATATATAGATATATAGATATATATATTTGTACATTTTTTATATATGTAGTCATTAGTTTGCCAACTTCTATTTTTTTGTAACTTATGTAATTAAATGAATTTATTTTACTCTAATAAAGTTTTATTTATTTGCTATTCCATTGATATTGCTCTGTAAAACAATTTGTAATGAAGGTTTGTTTTATTATGTGTACTACAACCTATATGCTTTTTTTTCCCTCTGCATATCAAAGTGTTTTAGGATTTAGTTGTTAAAATTTTGCTATTTTTATGCATTCAAAAGCTGTCATTTGATTTCAGATTATGGCATCAATTTTTCAGTAATATCACAGTTTATAAAAATCATATGTGGTATTTTATTATTATTTATTTTTTTGTGTGTGTTTGTCCCAGGGCTTGAACTCAGGGCCTGCGTGCTGTCCCTGAGCTTTTGTGCTCAATGCTATAGTGCTCTACCACTTTGAGCCACAGTTCCACTTCTGATTTTCTGGTGGTAAATTGGAGATATGAGTCTCACAGACTTTCCTGTCTGGGCTGGCTTCCTAAATAGCAAGGATTATAGGCATGAGCCACTGGAATTTGAAATATTTGGGATTTTTAATAGAGAAGAATGAGATAATGGTTACAAAGAAATATAAGACTTTTACATGTTGCTATTCACTTTACTGACACATTTAAAGCAACCTATGAATACAGCTACATTATTCAAAAGGACTGATTATATATTTGGAAGTTATAATCAGTTAAAAATATTCATTAAATTTTTGTTCCACAATCTTAAGTAATTTCAAATTTATTCTTGAGATTAGATTTACTTTTTCTATAATTCTATTTTAATAATAATATTTTTATTTTAGACAGATCTCAGAACAATTGGAAAGAAATTCCTTCCCAGTGACATCAATGGTGGAAAGGTAGAAAAGGTAAAACAAATCGTTAAATTCCTAAGTTTTCCTAACCACAGCAAATATGAATATCTACTAAACTACTATATAGTCTACTAAGTTTCCAGAGTACAGCAGAAAATATTCTATGGTAAACAAGTTACAAAATTATGGTGACTTCCTTTATAAAGAAGATGAAGTTAAATTCTGATGATTTTTAATCATTAAAAAAAACTTCTGTTTCAGGAATTATAAATTATTGAAGCATACTTACTCTACATGTGACAGTTGCTACATATAATCAGAGTTTAGAAAAGGTTCTTTTTATCCTAGTTACCTTAACAAACTGTTACTAAGTTTAATAAACTTGTTGTATAAAAGTTTAAGACAAGAGGATATTAGTGGCTTCTTAGCAAAAGTACATTGCGTTGTTGCTATTATTTTTATTATATATAAAATTATATGTATTCATGTTACAATTTTCTTTTTAAAATAAAGGGATATATTTTTAAGATAGGAGTGAGATAGGAATGACATTTCCTATTTGTGTTTAATATTTTGTGAATACATTTCATTGTGTCAGTGGAGGCTTTTTTTATGAGATATTGGTCACGCTTTAAACTATTAAGGGACATTATATGTCAGTTACATAAATACTTGTATAGGTTTTATGTTTGGATACATAGTCTTTTAGTTTTTAACACTCAGAGTTGAAAAGTTATTGCACATCATATACATTACATTCTGAATGATTTTAGAAGTTCTTTAACAACATTTTTCAATATTTTCTAAATATTAGTACAGTAGATGGAAAGGACCATAAAAGATAGTTGCTATCACTTTAGTTTTTGAGGCAAATATTTAACTGAACAAACAAAGCTTTACAACTTACATCAGAAATTTACTTTGATGTTTAACAACACTTTGTGAGCAAATATTAATTATATTTTAAACTGATTTCTTATGTTGCACCATGAAGTCCAAAGTCTTCTTTATATTTTCTCAAGGAAAATAGAGAACTCTGATTTCCTTGTGACAAATTGTAGTCTTGCAGATTTGTGGATGCCATTGCCATAGGTTTTTCTTTGCTAAAGCTATCTGTCTTGGTTGCTTTGTTCATGCTCAAGTTTTCATCTCAAGATTTCCATGATCTTCATTATACTGTTTTTTTTTCTTTTGGTTATAGTGGTAATTCATTGACTTTTATACCTTAATTGTCATGAGATCTGACTGTAGTACATATTGCTGAGCCTAAACTATCTTTGCCCCTGCATGACTTTCTGATGCTATTGAAGTAAGAGGGAGCCTGAGAATTTGCATTTTGAACAAGTTTCTAGCAGATGTTTATGCTGGTTAGGGAAGCATACTGGATTGTAGGACTCCCAGATTGAGCATTAATCTTGAGTACATTAATTCTCCACAGGAAGCAGAAGAAAAATCAAAGTATATCTTTATGCTAGTTTGAATTTTAAAAATGGAGCTTTGGATTGTAGATTATCTACTTTCTTTTTAAAAATTTTTAGCTATTTTTAATTATTTATTTAGGCAGTACTAGAGTTTGAAATCAGGGCCAAAACAGTGCTCAACCCCTTGCACGCTGCCTCCAGCCCTTAAATGAATGTTAGATTTAGGAAAAAAATGTTAGATTCAACCCTAGTATGTATTATTTATATAATGTGGTGTTGTGTGGTGGTGTATATATTTGTATACACATGGTATGTGTATGTGTATTTCTGTAATGCTTTTCTTTCCAAATAACATGGCATATTTTGGAGACTCAAGTCTTTTGAAAATGATTTTTTTAAAGATTTTTTTTATTGTAAAAATACTGTATAGAGGGGTTACAGTTACATGAGCAAGGTAATGAGTACACTTCCTATCAAGCATTGTTGCCTCCTCCTTCGTTTTTCCCCTACCATCTCTTCCCTCCCACCTCCACAAGTACATCTTGAACAAGTATAAACTTGTTCAACCACTCTGAAAAGCAGTATGGAGATTCCTCAAAAGACTCCACATAGAACTTCCTTATGACCCAGCAATCCCACCTTTGGGCATTTACCCAAATGATCACAAACAAGGCCATACTAAAGCTGCCAGCACAACTATGTTTATTGCAGCCTTATTTACCATAGCTAAGATATGGAACCAACCCAGATGCCCCTCAGTAGATGAATGGATCAAGAAAATGTGATATATATCTCTCTATATATCTATATATATGTATATATCTATATATATGCATATATATAGATATATAGCTATATATATATATATATAAAATGGAATTCTATGTCTCCATCAGAAAGAATGACATTGCCTCATTTGTTAGACAATATAAAGACTTGGAAAAAATTATATTAAGTGAAGTAAGCCAGGTCCAAAGAAACATAGGTTCCATGGTTTCCCTTATTTGCAATAACTAGTATATGTCTGGGACAAACAGAAAAGGTGAAAAGCTATGTACATATGACAAGATAAGATGATGTCAAGCGAAATGAACCCTAAGATAGGGACACAGTGTTTTTTTCTTTCTTGCTATTGTTTCTAACATATTTATAATGTACCATTGTTGCTTTGTATGTTCCTGCCTCATGGTATAACCCCTGTTTTCACTGTATTTGATGTCAATGCCCTGCATCTTGTATATACACTTCTCTAATTTGGGGAGGGGCAGGGAAAAAACAAAATGCTTAAACAAGGATACAGTTTGACCTGTTGTAACAATGAGATGTGCAATACAAGACACTATGTTGCAGATTATCTACTTTCTTTTGAGAGGTTAAGAGCCTAGCTCTGTTATGAGCCTACTGGATACAGTGGTGACACTCTTTTCTGCTCCCTCTACTTTTTCAACACTTTGTTTCTAAATGATTTGTGCAGTAGCTTTTTAAAAAAGACCTTTAAATGGAGATGACAGCAACAAAACCTTAAAACTTCCTGATCTAAAATGTGCTCTTTCTTAATGCTAATGTGACTTTATATATACAATGAATAGAAATAAAAAATAGTTCCTTTGACATGAAACAAATTATTAGATGTCTTTTCTTCTCTTCATTAATTACACTTTTTCTTCCCTTACCTGCTTCTGACATTATCCCAGATTCTCTCTTGTTTATGAATATATTTAGAGAAACAGTTTTCATAGAAGTTAAACTGACACATAGGTGTTGGTCATTTTATTTGCCAATCATTAACAGTCTACATGTTATAAATAATAGCTGTTTTTTTAAAGCATATGTTCAAGGAATATGTTTTTTACATGAAATGGATTGCTTTGTCTCTTTGTATACTAAGAGTTAGTCAGTGAAATATACTCGTCTTTTGCCGCTACTATTATTATAGTGTTGTATATATTAATAGTGATTGAAATAAAGGAGTGACTCCAGAATCACCAGTCACTTAACTATGTTATAGTTTTTTAGTTGAGAAGCAGAAGCTTTAGGGTTTCATTATTTCTTTTTTTTAAATCCTCTTTCATTGAAAATACATGTTTTGTTGTTATAAAGGTGATGTACAGAGGTAATGCATAGTTATATAAGTCAGGTAATTAGTATTGTTCTTTTTTTTGGGGGGGGGGGTCTGGTTGTGGGGCCTGAACTCTGGGCCTGGGCGCTGTCCCTCAGCTCTTCAGCTCAAGGCTAGCGCTCTACCACTTGAGCCACAGCGCCACTTCCGGCTTTTTTTTTTCTTTTTGCTTATGTGGTGCTGAGGAATCGAACCCAGGGCCTCATGCATTGCAAGGCAAGTGCTCTACCACTGAGCCACCTTCCCAGCCCAGTATTGTTCTTTTTGAACAGTGTCACCTCTTCCTTTGTTCTCTCTCAGTATTTCAGTAAGTAACTTGAGTATCTCTTGAGTAGATCTGATTATGATCTAAGGTAATATTTTCTACTTTTCTTTTTATAAATTAAGAAAGTAAGAAAGGTAGTGATGGAGAAAGAGAGTATATGAAAGAGATTTGAGTTACCCAGTTAGCTTTCCAGCACAACAGACTAGAAACCAACCTTCCAGAAAGTAATTTTAGAAAAATTTAAATAGATGATAGGCTAGCTGTCCCAAAAAGCAGAGGAGGCATGGCTCACATTGTGTGGAGAGAAGTAAAGCAGTAGGGAATGGTAACAGATTAAAGACATAGGTGCAATTGCCAGCCTGGATTTAAATCCTATTCATTTTTGTGACTTTTGGCAAGTTATTTAATCTTGGTAGGTTTTAATTTTCTTATTCAAGTATTGTTTCCTATGACTTTGAAGAATTAAGCAAGTCTTGAGATTTGAATATGGTGTAGTGCATATGGAAATTCTTTTTTATTTAAATTTTTTTTGGGGGGGGTCCAGTTGTGGGACCTGAACTCTGGGCCTGGGCGCTGTCCCTCAGCTCTTCAGCTCAAGGCTAGCACTCTACCACTTGAGCCACAGTGCCACTTCCAGCTTTTTTTTTTTTTCTGCTTATGTGGTGCTGAGGAATCGAACCCAGGGCCTCATGCATGCAAGGCAAGCGCTCTACCACTGAACCACCTTCCCAGCCCATGCATATGGAAATTCTTGAGGGTGATGAACAATTTAGGATGCATGCATTTTCACTACCTTATTTGGGTTTCTTGTTATTGAGGGATTCCCAAGGAAATTCAGTGAATGAAGTAAGATTCGTGATTATTTTTTCAGTTTTGACCAAATGCCCAAACATAGAATTCTACAACTTATTTGGACTTTTCTCTGAAGTAGAATTAAAGCTAGAATAAATCCCTGCTCTGACTGATTCTACTATATTCCAAGCTTGCTTGAGATACTATCATTTCTGAAAGAGAAAGCTATAGGTAAAAAAGAGGATCAGAAGGTATTTGCCCCAGTATTTTAAGAAGCAAGAGAGAGGAGAACTTAGTGGGAGCCAACTGTATCCACACTGGGTGGCCTTTTTGAAAAGGCATTCCAAATATATCTTTCAAACCCTTTGGAAGCTCGTTCAATTAGGAGTAAAACCCAGTACAGCACATTGGAACTCTCCCAATACTGATCAGTAATACCAGTCATAGATTAAAGCAT